AGAAAAGTTATAAAGAAAAAGTATATTATAGTTTATATAGCGGAAAAAGAAAAAAATTATAGATATTCATTTGAAAAGAAGAAGAAAAAAATAAATGGAACAAAATTAAGGAGAAAAATAAAAATAAACAAAAATATAATTTGGAAAATAATGAATGGAATTAGAAAAGGAGAAAAAAGAAAGAAAAGAATAGCTTGACTTGGCTAAATGGGGTATTATCACTTTTAGCTCGAGCCGAAAACTATTTACATTTGGTAGCCGAAAGGGTGTATAAAATTTGTATAATTTTTGTATATAATATAAATAATGTATATATATTTATACATTTTTTGGGTATTATTTTTACAGCAGCTATACAGTATCATTTTTCCAAAGTAAATGGGGTTGTATGGGTATTGTCGGGTAAATAGTTAAGTGCATGAGTATTTTTCTAAGACTCAATAATTTTTGGAAATTTTACCTCCTATATCAAAGGTATACACCCTATTTATTATATACCAAAATTATTTTAAAATATTATTTTATATAGCTACCTTTTATATTTTATAACAAAATAAGTATTTATGGTATATACTACTATTGAGACATAAAATATGCTATTTATGTTTTTCCTTTCTTAGACAGCTGAACATACCTATTTTTAAGGTGATTGTCGTTACTGTATTCATGAATACATGTCGCGAATACATGTGAATACATGCACGTACAACTGGATTGCCCTGATTTTAGGCCTTTTTATTGATGCATTCATGAATACAGCATCGCGAATACATGTGAATACATGTGCGTACAACTGGACTACCCTGATTTTAGGCACTTTTTGCTGTTGTGTTCATGAATATATGGTGCGAATACATGTGAATACATATGCGTACAGCTGGACTGCCCTGATTTTAGGTGCTTTTTACTGTTGTATTCATGAATACAACAGTGCGAATACATGTGCGTACAACTAGATTACCCTGATTTTAGGCACTTTTTGCTAATGTATTCATGAGCACATGGCGTGAATACATGTGCGTATAGCTGGACTGCCCTAATTTTAAGACCCTTTTTGTTGTTGTATTCATAAATACAGTAGCGCGAATACACTACCGTAATAACTGAATATATATAAAGTAATTATATATATGATAGCTATAGGAAGTTAATAGCAACTGAACCATAATGGTTTCTGAAAATTCCTCATAATTTTTCCAATGTAAATCATTATTTTTCTCGAATGGGCCCTCCAAAATTGGGCTTGGGTTTTGTGGGAGTATTTCGGTGTTCACATCCTCCTAATTCTTCAGGGACAAAATGGTGCTGATCTGTCTCTGTCCAGTCCACCCTGATTTCTTTTCTTTGACAAATGTTTATTTTGCTTACATATACATTATATGGGTTTTTCTAGAATAACACCGTTTGCTTTTCAGCACTGTCACAATCTTCTTCTACCAAAGTCTTTCATATCTAGTCGACTGACCAGAAATACAACCAGTAATCATAAAATCAAGTGTATTCCCTTAGCAGTAAGAGCTCACTCAGCAGCAGCAGCAGCAGCACCAACAATGGTCAAAGCTATTAGAGTTCATGAACTTGGTGGCCCTGAGGTCTAATCTCTTTACATGTTTTTGTACATTTATCTTTAATTTTAGTCATATTGTCAAAAGAAAAAGATCAAATGCTGCGATTTTAATTCACGATCTTATACTGATAATATCTGGGTTGGGGGAACTCGATAGTGGTTTGAGGGTACCTTTTTTGTTTTGTTTTTGCCTTTATCCGGCTCCGCTGTCATATTCATGTTTTAAAACTTGATACTTAATTACTTGATGTTTTTGTTCTTTGGACATCCGGCTAATTTTTAGTGTGTAAGTTCTTAGTTGAAGTTTTTAATTTTATTTATATGTGTTTTGAGGGTAGCAGGAGAATAAATATTAACGACAAGGCCACTTCTTTTGTAGGTTCTCAAATGGGAGGACGCCCAAGTAGGAGAACCAAAGGATGGAGAGATCAAGGTGAAAAATAAGGCCATTGGCCTCAACTTCATTGATGTATATTTCCGAAAAGGAGTTTATAAAGCTGCTGCACTTCCCTTTACACCAGGTGTTTATCACGTATCTCTGTCAATTATTTTCTTCATTTTCTTCTTCTATTTGATGTTTAAAGGTCTCTTCATGAACTTTTGTGATTGGAAATACGTGTTATATGTGTCAAGATCCTATTTTTAAATTGAAGATACACATTAAACCCCCTTCTCAATTGTAGCCCACTGGTTTGAGGCATCCATTAATTTGAATATCTTCTGCTGGTTATGATTAACTTTAGAACTGCATCATATGCAAAAAGAAAAGCCTGCATCTGCTTTGGCATGAATTTCTCCACTACGCATGGGATGATATGTTGTTTATTGAAAGTTAAATAGGTATTCTCCATATGGAAGTTCCCCTATACCGGAATCTCTGGATATATGTTGAGTTTCAATTCCCTGAAGCATTTCGTCGATTACTATGCTCTTCCACTCACAGCCTAACTTGTTATCCACTTTAAAACTAGTTTTTCAGTACTGCAGATCTGCAATTTAGGCGATGATTCACAGGCAATAAAGAGGCGAAGTAAATTAGATGCATAAAGATTCTGCTTTACCACAAGACCGGTCCATATACTTGTCCAACCAAAAAAAAGGACAGGGCCATGTACTTCTCATTATTACCATTGACACTTCAATGGTGATTCTTGTTTCGTCTACAGAAGGATATTTTTTTTTTTTGTGCATCTAGTTATCAACCGTGTGTATTTGTATGGTCCAACTTCTTTTCTTGTTTCTTGGGACATGCTAGATTCTTACATATGGAGTTATAGGAGATGATAGAAGTTATTTTTATTTGTTGATAAAGTGTAGAAGATAATAGAAGCATTATGTAGGTAGCATTCAATTGGGATTAAATTCTTTGTGTCAGGTATGGAGGCCGTAGGGGTTGTAACAGCTGTTGGTCCCGGATTGACGGGGAGGAAAGTTGGAGACATTGTTGCATATGCTGGCAATCCTATGGGTGCATATGCTGAGGAACAGATCCTTCCTGCCAATAAAGTTGTGCCTGTTCCTCCCTCTATTGAGCCCACTGTTGCAGCATCCGTACTTCTCAAAGGCATGACTGCTCAGTTCCTACTGCGCCGCTGCTTCAAAGTACGTAAAGATTTACAGCAGCCCAGTTTCCTTTCTTTGTTTTTCCATCATTTCCTCCTTTGGTTGAACGGGTCATGCTTATATACAAACTAGATGATTTGCTTATATTACAAACTAGATGATTTGGATTATGCAGTGCAGAAACAGTCCTCATCCATTAACATTCATCAGCATACAAGCTTTAAGAACTCTTAAACGGGCATGATGGAGTGTTGTTTTATGATTTATGAATATTTTATCTACATGTTAATTAGTGTGATCATAATATAAGGACCATTTTTAGGGAAGATACTCAATACTATTTGATCAGCTCTTATTACTGGAAATTCAACCTTCAGATATTAACTGCACTACTAATGGATGATTAGCAATTAGATGTACATCCCGTGATGGAGGTTCTTTTATTAAGTAAACCAATCTATAGTTTGGTGATCCAGCAGGTTGCTAGATCCTATTGCTTTTGACAATAGCATCGTGTTTCTCATAGTTAATGCATGTGTAACTACGACTTGAAGAAGTAAAAAGCATGTCCAGTGGTATGTCTAGGTGTGATTTAGGAGTTGAGGGCTAGCTACCTAGATGAGCATACCACAGATGATTATGGATCTTTTCCTCTTCTACTTTTTGAAGACTTTCCAACTTCTAAATTTTCCCCTGAGCATTTCTTTTTGTACAAATTTTTTTGAGATAATGAGAGAAATAGAAGACAAGGACATTAAAACTATGTATCCTCAATGCATTACAAAGACATAAGTATAGTCCCTACTCCATTTTTGACTCCAGGTATCTCGCAGATTTGTGCTCTGGATGGCTATGCTTCTTCTAAGATCCTGATATTCTCAGTACCCGAGCAATTTTGGGGAGCTGTCGAGTGGCTGATATTCTTTAATTTCCTGTTCCTTTTAATTGATTGTTTGCAGCTAGTTAGTGTAGCACGAAAAACATCAGGAAATAAAAAATAAAGAAAAAAATGAATTGTTCGAAACCTTGAAGGTCATGGTATACATTTTATCATGAGTGCATTGTTTTACTAGTTTCTGGTTTTCTAAAAGGTAAAGTGGTTAACATATGGTATCTCCGATCTCTCCTGATCAGTGTCAGCCTGTCAGGTACCCCATAAATTGAATTGTTAGAGATTTTCAGAATCCCTTGGGAATCCCCGACCATGGGAAGGTTGAGGCCGTTAGAGTTTGTAGAATAGTATTCTATAACCCAAAGGTTTGGCCAAGTGATCAATAAAGTCGGAGGAGAACCATGAGGTCTCAGGTTCATATCCCAGCGGAGGTAAAAAATACTAGGTTATTTTTTCTCATATGCCTAAGCCTTGGTACTAGAGTTACCCGGTATCTGTGCTGATGGGAGGTAGTAGGTACCCTTAGTTAAGATTCTCGCAAGCTAGCCCATAAAACCACCGTCATGAAAAAATAAAAAATAGCATGTTATAAATCCAACATGCTGAACATGAATCATCTCTGCTTCCCGGAGCAGTGATTTTGCAGCACTACTAACTGAATTTAGAGACCAACGAACAAAAAGGAAAATAAATGTCCTTTACATGATTTTGGCATGTAATGTTTAGGATATTATCCATCCATTTCCGTTTAGATGGTTCGGGCATGTTCAGAGGAGAAGCCCAGATGCTCCGGTAAGGAGATATGGGCGGTTGGTTGTGGAGGGCACGAGAAGAGGTAGAGGGCGGCCTAAGAAGTATTGGGGAGAGGTGATCAGGCAGGATATGGCGAGGCTTTAGATTTCCGAGGACATGACACTTGATAGGAAGATGTGGAGGTCGAGTATTAGGGTTGTAGGTTAGGAGGTAGTTGAATCTTTCCTTGCTTCGTACCATTGTCAGACCAGTCTGGTAGGGTTTTTGTCTAAGATAGTTAGTGGCAATGTTGTGTCTTACTATTTCACTTTTCAGTGCAGGACCTATTCACTAGCTATCGCTTTTGCTTTGCATCTTTCTTCTGGATTTCATGTTGTTCCTATTTTTCTTATGATTTCTGTGGTGATACTAATATTGTCTCCTTTTGTCTTTTTGTTTTCTTGAGCCGAGGGTCTTTCGGAAACAGCCTCTCTACTCCTTCGGGGTAAGGGTAAGGTCTGCGTACATAGTACCCTCCCCAGACCCCATTAGTGGCATTTTACTGGGCTGTTGTTGTTGTTCCGTTTAGTTGAAACTATAATCTTTCAAATCCTTTTTAGTTGAATTGTATTTTTCTCTCTTAGTTTCTTAATTACAAACTAATATAGATTCTTTATTTTCATCAAATTATACTGTGTTGCATCGTATTACAGGTTGAACATGGGCACACAGTACTTGTTCATGCTGCAGCAGGTGGAGTTGGCTCCCTATTGTGCCAATGGGCAAATGCCCTTGGTGCTACAGTCATTGGGACTGTATCAACTAAAGAGAAGGCAGCCCAAGCAAAAGATGATGGGTGTCATCATGTCATAATCTATAAGGAAGAGGATTTTGTCACTTGTGTCAATGAGATCACATCTGGCCAAGGAGTTGACGTTGTCTATGATTCTGTTGGGAAAGATACCTTTCAGGTATTGGCATTTAAATTCGTTCTTTTTCAACAAGTTAGTCGCACTTCACTTATAAGAGCTTGCAACGAGAAAAAAAAAAAAAGAAGCAATAGTTTCATCAGAATGGTTCATCACAATCTCTTTAAATGTTGGAGATCGAAATCTATTTAAGGATAATCAGAACTTGCAAAGCCATTAACTGCAAAATAGGCAATAATTCCAACTTCTCAGGGAAAATTGAACGCGACATCTATAGGCCAGAAAGAGAATGAACAGGAAAACACGGATAGGTCCATACTTGGTGACCGTGATTAGAAAGTATCTGTTGCATTTATGCCTGTTCCTGAGTAGCCTTTAATTAGGATTTTTTTTCATCAGGGATCATTAGACTGCTTAAAAACTCGTGGATACATGTTGAGTTTCGGGCAGTCATCTGGCTCACCAGATCCAGTACCTTTATCAGCTCTTGCAGTGAAATCGCTATTTCTGACAAGGCCGAGCATGATGCATTACACAATAACGAGGGATGAATTACTGGAAACTGCTGGAGAGGTATTTGCAAATGCTGCATCAGGTGTCCTACGTGTCCGTGTCAATCATACTTATCCCTTGTCTCAAGCAGCACAAGCACATGCTGACCTTGAGAGCAGGAAGACATCTGGATCAGTTGTCCTGATTCCAGATGGTGAGCAGAAGTAGTCTACTTTGGTACTGATCCCACATGAAATGTATGAAAGGGCATGGCGGATTTCAAGTCTATATAATTCTGAGACGAAGTGCTGAGCTGAACCATAATAAATGCCTTTGTACATTCTTTGTCGATTTTCGCTTCCCATTATATTTGTTTTATTTGTGTGGATGGACATTAGTTCTTTTAGTTTCTTCCCAGCTTATTCCGAGAGTGACAGCTTCTTTAGGCTCAAATTATGGTGGAATCTCGGTTTACGGGTAATGTTACAGAATTGCAGGTTGAACGATTCAAGGTCCTGTTCAAATAATTTTACTCACTGGAGTTCTCTACCATAGCATATGGCACTCAAGCGACTTTTGGTGCTTTATTGGAATTTTAGCACCAATGATATTACCTCGGAGTTGAATTTCTCTCCTTGTCTAGGGTAGATGTGCTCTCAGTTGCATGAAGCACGTTTATGACGGATTTAGATCCTTTCCTGTAGAAATAAGTCAAACTAATCAGGTTCTTAACCAAATGTTTCCTTCACCTGTAGAAGCTCTTCCTTCTTTAACCCAAGGGCGGCTCTAAGGCCCCAAAAATCTCAAGTATTACTATATTATTATACTATATATATACTAATCTTTATGAACGTGCTTTGCACGTATATCTCTTATCAACTGTTATAAAGCGTATTTTAAATGATAAATTTTTTATTGCATGTATTCACCAAGTATGTAGATAAAAAAATAACTAAATATTGCTTGAACATTTCAAGTAGGGGTGTGCATAGGTCGGGTTGGTTCGGATTTTACAATTACCAAACCAAACCAGTTGTGCCAGATTATTAAATCTAAAGACCAAACCAAACTAATAAAACTCGGGTTTTTCACTCTCGGTTTTTCTCTGGTTTTCTCGGGTTTTCGGATTATTCGGGTTTTTTCGGGGTTTTTTTCCGGTAAAATCTTTGTAGAACAAAATATATAAATTATGTTCAAATATTTCTTTAGTCCTAGTAAGATACAACTATTATTATAAAGTATTTTTCAAGAAAATAATATAAAATATGAGATATGTCATGGCATTATCCTAAAATATTCAACAATAAAGACAATAAAATTACGTAATATAAATATTGCTAATTAAAAATTCAAAATAAAAATAAACATAATCTAAGAGTACTAAGTCATGCTAAAATAAGTAGACTAATAAGGGAGTATTAAATACATGACTAAACGCTAAAGAAAAAATAAAGATAGGTTATGCATTTTTATCTAAATTATTGCAAAACAAAAAATAGATATTCAATACATTTTCGTTCGTGGTATTGAATTAAATATCTTTTGTTAGCATTAATATTGATTTGATTTTGGTTTGGGCTTTTGTCATCACTATTTAATTTACTAATGTTAATGACCATAAAACTTATTGGAACATTCAAAAGTTCTAAGTCCAACCTTGAAATAATACCTCAAAAAATAAAATTATGAAATCTTTTAAGAAATATTTATAAATTACATCACAGTAAGTATATTTATATATTAAATATATCTAAAATTTCTATATATGTAATGTCGAGTTGGTTTGGTTTTGGTTTGACTTTCTTTAGTTAAAACCAAACCAAACCAATTATGGTCGGGTTTTTATTCCAACACCAAACCAAATCAAACCAACCCATAGTCGGGTTTTTTTTCTCGATTTGACTCGCATTATCGGGTTGGTGCGGTTTGTTGGTTTCCTTTGTACACCCCTAATTCCAAGATGGATAATTGAGTTAGATAATTAGTGTCCTTGCTCTAGATTGCAAAATAATTTTAGATTCATACTACAAATTGTAGGGGTGTACATGGACCGGGTTGGTTCGGGTTTTATCAAAATCGAACCAAACCAACTATATCGATTTGGATTGGTTCGATTTTGTCGGGTTTTTCGGGTTTTCGTATTTTTTTGTTACATGAATATTATTTCAATCTTACTTTGTTAAAATTATAGATAAGGCTTTGATAAGTGAATATATATTTAGTAAATATGGAAAAAATTGACAAACATATGATCTATTAAAATATTTTAATGGGAGAATTTTTTTAGTAACATATGATAGTTATTTTCTTAGTCGTCTAACAATAATTTTTCGTTAATTTACGCTTTCAAGGTTAATACATGAGAGGATCCCAAATATTTCTACATTTTCTAAAGAAAATTCACTATAAAATCTATATTTATATGACGGTTTGGTTCGGGTTTTTTAACTCAATATCAAACCAAGTCAAACCAAACCTAGTCGGGTTTTTTAATCGGTTTGGTTTGATTTTTCGGTGCGGTTTTCCTGTTCGGTTTGAACAGCCCTACTACAAAGCATCTATTTGTTTCTCTATCGATATTTGACTATTCCTTTGTCAAATATAACTCATCATCCTTATGAGGAATAATCTTGTATCGACTTCACAATTGCTACGTAAATCTCCTATTCTCCCACAATTACATAGAAAGGATCAAAGTTCTAACTTCTCTTTCGCTTCTATGGGGAGAGAAGTTCCAATGATGGTTAAGTCTCAGGCAATTACATTTTCTCTAAGTATATACTTCCAATAAAATTAAGAATTTTAGTCCAAAGTCCGTCCTGTTCCAATCAGAAGTCGATCGGAGCCATTTAGTTATGCAATAAAGAATTGAATTAGATGTGCGATCTTTAATCTCAAGTAAACTTGTGTTTAGAAGGAAATAAAATTCTTTTTTTTTTCCAATTGAAATGGTGAAAAGTCCTGGATGAATTATGTGGAACAATAACTTATTTTATAGGAACATTTAGCTTATTCTTTTTCTACATGTTCATGCAATAAATTTAAGTCCCATACAAACTGGAGAACCAGATATTAAGCGTACACTTAGCAAGTATTTACTTGTATATGGATATTGACGTACAAAACTGAACAGATATAAAGAGTGGACTCCAAGTTCGACTCTACCTGCTATTCCATGCACACATTCTGGATTTGTTTAACATCTAGGCTTGAACAAGAGGCTTTGTGGTGCTTTAGGCGACGATAATCTATGTATAAATATAAAAGAGGGCATTAAGGAAGATGATGTGGCTCTCTCATCGAGTAGGGATCCTATTTATCTTTTTTCTCTATTTTTTACCTTTTTTGACTTATGTGTTTATTTATATTACAGATTAAAAATTTATTCTAAATGCATTAAGGGGAGATATTAAAACGGTTAAGTTTTAGGAATTCTTAAAAAAATTTAACTGTCTATATGCATTAAAAGAGGAGACGCCCGTATTTATGACCTTTTAATTTTTCAAGAAACGGTTTTTTTTTCTCTTTTGGGTCTCATTATTGTGTGAGTATTTTTTTTTTCACATGGTATCGCGGTATTTTGTTTTCTTCTCCAGGTACTGGGTTTGGCTAATTGGCTTCTACCAAATATGGATTTATATGTTATTCTTTGATGATCTATCTACTTCATTTTAATTTACTTTCCCCAACTATACTGCATATTTTTTAAACTTTTCTTTCTTCGTTAACACTACTAGAAATCCGGAAAAAAGTGACCAAAATTTAGCGACCAAAGTTGGTCTGTGGGAAAAAGCGACCAAAGTTGGTCGCTAAACT